TTTTGAATTTTTAAGGGTGTTTTCTATAAATTATAAATTATACAGGGATATTTGTAACTCCTATATTTTTAATGTACTATTAGGTTAGAAATTATCTGAATTTTTATAAATTTTACAATCTTGAGGGTTTTATCTTGCAATTTGTAAAAAGTTTAGAGTGTTTATTATAAATTTCATAAAATTTTGGGGTTGTTTGTGTTATTTGTAGGCTTTTAGTGTGTTTATAGGTTTGAAATTTTTAAGGTGTTTTTATAAATTTTGAATTTTTAGGAGTGTTTTTGTATTTTTTAAAACTTACAAGATACTTTCTCCAATGTCAAAGCTTTCATTTTTTAGCTAGCATATATTTTTCGGATTTCTCACTAAATTAAAATAAATAAAATTTATAATTTTAAAGATATTTTAATAAAAATTTAAATTTATAGGGGTGTTTTTGCAATTAAAAAAGCTTGGAGGGTATTTTTTATAAGGTCCAAAAATTTTTAGGTGCTGGCTGACATATTATTTTTAGATTTCTCTACAAACTAAAATAAGTAAAAGTTTTAAATTATATCAAATGTATCTCCTTTATCCAATAACATGTTAAGTCTCATTATGGATGAGATAAATCATTTAATTATAAATTCAAAGACTATATATAGAAAAATTAGAATAGATTAGGATAACAATATAATATTTTAAAAAATTAAGGGTAATATTGATCATGAAAAGATTTTCTCCAATTGGTACTTTTAAAGAGAGTATGATATATAGATGTTGAGCATGTGAATGAAAATGCCTTTAGTTCCATATCCTCGCATTGAAATCTTGCAAATGAGATGTTCCTATACTTAGTAAGGTTTTTTTTTAATACATATCCTCTTTAGATCATGCTATTTAAAAGATGACCCTCAAATCTTATAATTTGCAAAAATACTCCTTTTAGTCATCAACTTTTGAGAGAAAACCCCCCTCAAATCAACAAATATCATTAACTTTGATAAGCTGATTTGTAATTGCAATGTAAAATATTAATAAAATAATCAAATATTTACTCATCATATCCAGCAAAGTTGATGATTTGTTAATTTGGGTTATTGTTTTCAAAATGTGATGATCTGGATGGTAATTCTGTAAATATTGAGATTTAGGAAAAGTTTTGTAGATACACATAATTTAAGGGATATTTATGCAAAAAATATATCGTACATTACATAATATGGTCCATTGTACACTAATAGAATAAAGTCTTTAACATAGTGAGTGTGCTCATTAACGTTCCCCTTTCCAATGAGAGATCTCAAAAGACCAACATGCTCTCTTCAAAGCCCTAAGCATCCCATTCTCCAAAAACCCACGAGCAACCCTCCCTTAATTTAATGGAAAATTTATAAATTAAACCCCTCACATTGAGACGCCAAATTTTATATTATAAAAATTAGCACATCTAAAAATATAAGAGAGAAAGGGAGAGAGCATTAAAAGAAGATTTGAATTTTGGGGTAGAGAGATGTGGATGGATACATGGAATCCATCATTCCATTCTCTTTGAAAGAATGCAACTCTAGATAATAGTACAAAACTTTAGAATTTATATTTTGTGAGAGTTCATCAATCTTTGCTTTAAAGCTCAATCCAGTGGGGCAAAATCATGATCATCATCACCTTGAAATGGGCCAGCCCACATGGCCCAAGAGCCAGGTGTCAATGAGTTGGTTCTTCATCATTTCTTTTGCTCACTAGTTACTAGTTATTAGTTTCCTCATATGAAAAACCTGAGCAAAGAGAAAACTGAAAGGAAAAAGGAGCACTCAAAAGTCTTAATTCAAGGAAAAAGGAGCTCTTTGAGCTGGCTTTTTTTATAACAAAAGAAACTGAAATGGGTATTAAAAAGTTCCCTAATTTTAGTTCACAGTAGAGGTTGTTTGGCTTCAAGATTTGGATTTTGGAATTCTAATAAATTCAGAAAAGTATCAAAATTCTAAAAATTTTCAAATTTCTTTTCTCCCCCCTTTGGTTGTGTGGATAGTTGAATATGAGGTTCAATTTTTTCGTCTCTCTGTTAGACTCTATTAGATCCGCGAGAGAATAGAGAACCTGCGACAGAATTTGTTATGAGCAAATTCTATTTGCTTCTCTTAACAAACTCGCTTTTAAAAGCACAAAGTTACATAATTAACGTGAGACTTTTTTTTTAATTTTAGATTCCTAAGAATTCTGCCAAAACAAACATTAATTGCCTATATTTCAATTTAAATTTTTTTTTAAAATAGAAAAAAAAACGAATAAATAAAAAAGAGCACAAGTATAACCGTTTTTTGAAGTACCCCGTGCTCTACTCACTAGTCAGCCAGAACATGAATTGCATTGCCTCTCAAGATTATAAAAGGGAAGGAAGAGAGAGAGAGAGGGAGAGTAGGGGGAGGGAGAGAGAGAGAGAGAGAGAGGGAGAGAGAGAGAGAAGAATACATTGTTTTTCTACCTCCATATATCTCTTCAAACTTCAGACTCCCATCTCCCTCTTGAAAACAGAGAGCTATCTTTGAATTGATTCAACAATGGCAGATTCCCAATCATCCTTTACCCTCCAAAGGAAACACTCATCATTACCCTTCCAACCTAAACAAGATCTTCATCATTGCTAATCCTCTCTCTATATAACCACACCCTCTTCTTCCTTCTCAAACTCCCTCAATTCGATCACCCCCCTTTTTTTTTTCCTTTTTTTTTTAACTCCTCCCTTCAATCATGAAGCCTTCTTCTTCCTCTGTCAATGGATTCTACTCGATCTTGGCTCATGGGCTCGAAGACCTCGAACGATCCTTCGCGTCGACAACTTTCATGTCAGCCCAATTCCTCAAAAGGGTGCTAACCCTTCTGAGATCTTTCCATTCCCAGCTCATTCACCTTGTTCAAAAGCTCAAGCTTCCTATGGGTGAGAAGTGGCTTGATGAGTATATGGACGAGAGCTCCCGGCTATGGGAGGCTTGCCACGTCCTCAAGCTCAGTGTATCCGCGATGGAGAATTATTGCACAGCTGCAGCCGCTATGGTGTCTTCCCTTGACAATTCTAATAACAATCGTCAGGTCTTGATTCTGTTAGACGCAGCGCCTTGCTTTCATACATACATATATACCACCTTTTAGTTACAGTTTTCTTCTCGATGTTACGATTATTTTTTCTTTAAGTATAAAAAAGAATCTTTTTCTCATGTTAACATGGTATCAGAGCCAAGACTCTTAACCCTACTAGAGACATCCTCGACGGTTTCATCTTTTTTTTTTTTCAAATTTGCGTGTGTACCACACCCCCATCTGTTTTTGCTTTGCAATTAATTAAACAAGATTCAATCCTAACGTTTGGCTTCTCTATATACAGGTAATGAGAGCAATCTCCCTGTGTCGAAGGGAGGCGGTGGGCGTGGAACAGGAGAACAAAAGCCTAGCGGAGACGAGGATCGAAGGGCTAAACCTCAGGTTCGACGAGAGGGTCACCATGGAGTCGAAGCTCAACGGATTCAACGGGTTCNGGCCTTAATCGGGCCGGGCCGATGGACGGGTCCGTGTTCTTCGGGTCGGGCTTCATGGTCTCCATGGGGAGGGTGCAGCAGAGGGTTGAGGGGGAGATCGAGAGGAGAACGCAAGGGAGGGGGGGTGTTTTGATGTTCGAGTTTCTGAGGGTGAAGGAGCTGGTCGAGGGGCTGAAGGGAGAGATCGAGAGGGTCGGGGGTTGTGGGGGGGTTCTTAGAGGGGAAGTCGAGAGGTTGAGGAGTGGGACCGAGGGTTTGGTCGGGGAGTTGGATGATTTGTTTGACGAGATTGTTGAAGGGAGGAAGAAGCTCTTGGATTTGTGCAGCCACAGGTAGGTAGAATTAAAAAGAAAGGAACGAGGTGGGTTCAGGGGTTGCTAGCTTTACTGCTCCCTGTGTTTTTAACCGTGTTTTTCTTCTGTTTGGATTTTTATGGCTAATTGCATGTAAGACCCTGTAGTGTTGCTGTGGTTGGACTTTACTATCTCAGTAGCTTAATTCGTTGTTGCGTATAGAAGAACCCTTTGTTGGAGGTTCGACTCTTTTGCACTCTCGTAAGACTTGGCCGATTTCACTATGGGGATGGTGAGTGCGATTAGGGGTCCCATTAGCAATTAACCGTTATTTTTATGTTTTGAGTCTTAGTAGGGAAGATTTCATTGTCAGCTTTTTGTGAGAGAGAGGGAGAGGGAGAGGGAGAGGGGAGGAGCAAGTGTGTGAGCTGTCTTCTTACTTAGAGTCAGAGAGAGAGAGATTATAGTATGGAGGATGTAAAAGGAGGAAGTCACATCCAAAAGCAGCTTCTCTACTGTAAAAACTTTTGATTAAAGGAAGTAAAAGAGAAGGGTTTTGTTTTTGTTTTTCCTCAGGCCACATCAGTGGATGTGAAGGCATTACGAGATGCCCTTTTCCGATCTCCTCTTTCCTTCAATCCTTCAATTTGTAGCTAAAATGATTGTAATCATGACTTTCACTCTCCTTTCCTTTGGTCCTATCATTAATGATTCCATTGGTGAAAATAATAAAAGGAGGAAGTGGGGGCTGAAGATTCCATGGCAATGTACTAAACAGAAGAAGGGGAAAAAAACAATTGAAGAAGCTTTTGTCTTGATCAGGTTCCATTTTCAACAGCAGATACAAAAACCCTTCTGTGGGCTGCAGCCGGCAGATGTGGTCTCTTTCCTCTTCAATGAAATAGAATCTCATCATCTGTCTGTTTTCTTTCAGAAAGTTTCAGCTATGTCTATGACTACGTTTTATTTCTCAGCAAATTTTACATAAAAGTAGAAGGAACTCGAGTGCAGCCTTTGACCATTATCTTCCAACTGTGATGTCTAATTTAATGAAAGAAAGAGACAAAAGGAACCTATTCCCAAAAATAGAAAAAAAGTCAGAACAGATAATATACAGATCTCCTTCACCTAATAAAGCGAAATGGACTCGAAGTGATCCTGAAACTATTATTCGTTAAAACACACTAGATTTCTAGGATCATCAAACATATGAATGATTGTATAATATCCTGAACAATACACACAGGAACCACTAAATCTATATGTACTGCTAAGTAAACTGTAGCATATGATTACTTCAAAGGCTGTATAAACTTTATTGTACCGACGCTGAAGAAACAATTTTCTGTAATCCAGAAAAAACCACCAACCTGTAGCTTGACAAAGGTATATTGACTCTATTACGTTATCATATATATAATACTGCTAATATATGGAGACGTCATAACCAAAAGAGGCTCAAATTTACAGCTATATTGGATGGTAATGGGAAAATGAACATGTCAAATATTTAGGCTTTCACCCTATAACTCATTGAATAATCCTAGGTCTGACCCAGGCATGGCAAATTGTGAAGAAAACGTCTCAACGTGGTTTCTTAGCTCAGCAATATCTCTGCTATGTTGCAGTCCCTTGAGAAATTCCTTTTGATACTTCCCATGCTCCTTTTGAAGGGTACTTGCAATATGTGCAGCTCTGAGGAGGAATTCAGCTATCGTCTCAAAATCTCCCTCTAGACAACCTCTCGTCGTCATGGCAGGGGTGCCTGAAAATATACAAAAACCAGTAGGATATGTAAGAGAACTTATATTTTTCTGGAAAAATACAAATGATAAATCAACTGATGCAAAGGCTTACCTATTCTCACACCTCCGGGACAAATAGCACCATTTTCACCAAATATAGGGGTTTTATTCAAGCTAATGTGGCAAGCCTCACAAACTTTCTCAAAGCTTTTACCTGTTGAGAATGACAATCATTACTCAGGAACCTGTATGCTTCAAACAAGAATCTTGCAAAGCATAATGAAATATGTGCCTTAACTAACACAACTTATAAGTATGGAGCTACAGATAATTACAGTAATGGAAAACTCCCACTAACTAAATAAATTAAGTTGATAACTGCAATGTAGGTAGGTATACAATAATCCTTCCTGGAAGTCAAAATTTTGTTCTACTATTCCAGATGTCCTTATTTTGATACTGTACATGCCAGAGTGCAGTTGAGATAATCTGAACAAAAACTCATAAATTTCATCATATGTTCCTATTAATATCAAAAGGGTAGCATTTCAAAGAGATTACTTCTCTAATCTTAAAATTCTATCGCGTTTACGGATCAGAACTTGATCAAGGTTTTATGGCTTTTACATATCCCATTCAAAAGATCGATGCAGAAAGTTGAAATTTATAATCCTAGTGCTCTGAGTTGCCAAAACTCAGGGATACTCTACCAATACATTTCATAGATCTTTAGGTTGTGTGCACAAACAAAGGAGAATAGAATAGAAAGTGTGGCTCAATGAGTCAACTATGGTCACTCTGACATTGTCCAAACTTTAAGCTTATCATCTTCTCCTTTCCTTTCACTCATGAATACACCTTAATTAATTAGCAATGCTTCAAAAAGCACTGGGAGCCTTTGGACGCCAAACCTACCCTGCCCTAGGGCCCTAGACAGGCTTAAAGGCCGCTTAGACGGATTTTTGGCATTTTATTCTTAAAAAATATCTGCTAATAGTATACAAAACTCTTCTTAACAATGCAGAAATTTTAGAAAAAAAATCAAGAGGGAAGAAAAGTGGAGAAAGAGGAAGAAGCGAGGATTAAAGAAAAGAGGAAAAATTATATAAATGTTCAAAAAATATGCATGATAAAACAAATAAAAAGCTCTTTTTGGGAGCTAGCTATGGCACTGGTTGGGACTCAAGGGAAGCAGACCTAGTGGTAGTTCGACAAAGAGAGAGTTGGAGCTCAGGAGATGCATTCTCTTTAGTTAATTGGATTTAGAATTCTGGACCCAACTCGCTACCTTCATCCATTGCTATACTTAAGCAGGTTGGGTAACAAATTTTAAGCGGTGTGGTACACTTATGTGGCAGCACCTACTAATTAGCAAGTCTGTTGAAAGTCAAATAGGACTGAATTGGAGCCACAGTTGATCGAGGAATTGATTATGAGAAATGAAGCCACAAGTAGATTTTAAGGAATGCCTCAAATGGGAGTAATCCCCCGTTAGGGAACACATCAGGAGTAATCATCTTATTGTTCAAAAATTATGCTACGTTACAAAGAAAAAAAACCAGAAATCCACAGCGGAAAGGTGAACAATGTTTGACCCTTCATACACGTGTCAATAATTCCTATGAGGCTATGACCGTGTTCAACAAAGGTGTAAGGAGGCAGATTAAGGCAAAGGATTAACCTAGTCACTCCATTTTGAGTAAAGAAGGACTAAGTTTGTTAATCCATCAGGAAGAATTAAATCACTCCTTGTACTTTATATTGGCATTTGGGAAAAAGGACTATCACTAACTTCCTTGAAAAGCGAAGGATTATTCTTAATCTATCTAAAGAGATAATTAGCAAATCCCTCATTTGAAGAGTTACATTTTAACTCGTATGAACAATTAACTCATTTCTGTCTAAACATATTATCTCAATCCTTTTATCATTTTCATGCATGGCAATTAATATAGGTTAATCCTTTTATTCTATGTGCCTTTTTTTGGGTTTGGCAAGAAAAGAATGGATTAATCCTCCTTAAACCCTCACTTAACCCTTTGCCAAAAAGCACCTAGCAGTATTTGGGACTATTACGTGCAGTTACAATAAATATTAAAAAAAAGGAGAGCAACAAAGAAAAAAGTGGAGCAGTGTACGTCTATCACTAGACTTCTCCAGTTCTCCACAAAAGGAAATAAGGCTCCCCTTATTTTTAGATTTTCGCTTGCTTTCTTCACCAGACAAAAAGGAGCAGAAGCAATAACTTACAAGGGAAATTAAAGATTTAACCTCCCCTTCTCAACAATATGTGTCCTCCTTTAAATGAGGACATATGTTAATTACAAAGCATGATCAGTAATAAATCACATGATTTTTCAGATTTATAGAATTGTCAACCATTAATCTCAGAGGACATAAAACTCATATCAAGCCCTCATATCCAACACTAGACAAACTTTTCAAACTTTTGTTCTGAACATTATGCACGACATAATTCAACACAATAATTACTAATGACCAAAGAAAGGCCAATCTATTTACAAACTTTTAAAATCAGGGAAAATAGCAAGCCACAAAATAACTTTTAGTTTTGGTAGTTTATAAAGGTGATATGCAAGAAAGATAGTCTGCGTAGACAAGTTATAAATGAAGGTATTAAATCCTAAAAATACCTGTTAAACCGAATGTTCTCAAATCCCATAATATCAAATGGTTGTCTGTACCCCCAGTTACTAGTCTGCATTTTCTTCTCATTAAGGCTGATGCTAGTGCTTGTGCATTTTTCTTAACCTGTTGGATATAAGCTTTGTATTCAGAAGTAGCAACTTGTTTCAAGGCTATAGCCAAAGCCGCAATATGGTTATTGTGAGGACCCCCTTGTAATGATGGGAAAACAGCGAAATTTATCCTATCTTCAAAATCATATTGCTCACTCTCATCTGTTTGACACACAGAAAATCCATGCTTCCTCATTTTTTTACCTTTCCTAAAAAAAATTATACCACCCCTTGGACCCCGAAGGCTTTTGTGTGTTGTTGAAGTGACAATATCACAATATTCAAACGGGCTCGAACACTCCTGCAAAGAGAACAATGAAAAAGAAAATCAATACTGCACCAAGAACACAAGTAATTCGATAAATTATATGCTCAAAATACATGTTTGTCAGACTAATAAAAATCTAAAAAGCCCAAAATAAGGTGTAATTCCCACTAACAAATACATAATCAATTGGTGGCTCTTGACTGCTCCTAGAATGCAGAAGATGAAATAAATTAAAATAACCAAGATGCTTTAATTGTTGTTCCTCTATCACGTTCAGAAAAAGAATCATATAGAGGGCCCCTAATAGAAAATCATATATGGAGGATGGAGGAGCTAGAGCCTCCCTGTGTCTCTATACCAATTTCAAAGTCGGTTATTACACTAACTTTGTGTACTGTTTCACTAATTTTTACTGTCTGCGCTGAGATATTTTACACTGTTGCTCTGATTTAAAATTGGTGTGGGACACGTGTAGCCTCCTCCTTCCTCCCTATATGATTTTCTACAACCGCCCTTCTATCTGATTCCTTTTCCATCATGTTTTTTGGGTGAATTCTCATTCAATCAAAACAAGTTACCAGCAAAGTCAATATTGAAGGTATAAGAGCAAAAAATAAGAGTATATCTGAAGTAGCACACTCATTCCTTACAACAATTACTCATGCTTTCACAAATTAATTATAATGATCTACTAGCAAAAATTCTTTATCGCATTACATTTCTGTCTACAGTAACAAAAAATTCACAATTGGTCCTTAATTGCATCAAGATCCATTACCGGAAAGATAAACTTAGATATCCTAAGTTTTCTAGGTTATATTTGTCGTCTTTGCTCCTGGATCATGTTGCAACGGGAGGCTTCACACCACAAAAGATATCTATACAAAGTAGAGATTCTAGAGAACAACACAAATCTAACAAACACAGCGAATATAAACAGAATAATACACAAGGATTTAATATGGTTCAGTTAGTATGTTGATCTATGTCCACGAGTGAAGATAGTAGAGAAATTCGTCAATCAAAAGAGAAGATTACAACAAAAGAGAAATTCATCAATCAAAAGAGAAGATTACAACAAAAGAGAAATTCATCCATCAAAAGAGAAGATTACAACAAAAGAGATCTCTCTAATCTCACACAAAACCTGCTAGAGAATTAAACACTCTAATCCCTCTCTTATCTTCTCTAACTTCTCACTAGTTTTCTATTCTGCACCAAACTTTTCATTCTTCACCCTCACAACATATATATAGAGGTTAATCCTTATGTGAATAGCTAAGGGTTGATTAAAAACAGTGGGGCTAGATATGTAAATAGGTGGGCTATAAATTTTCATATGTTACTTACATGTATTTTCAGAAACCAAAATTGATATTCAAAGTCAGAATTCAACAAATCTCCACATTGACTTTGAATATGATAAATATTCTCTTCATTACTTACTGCACTAGGAGAGCTATTATTTTTTACTCTCCATAAACTGAAACTATTTCGCCTGTCAAGCTTCTCCACCTCATAGTTTTATCAAAGACATCTTGACCTAACAAACATAGAAAATGTCACCGAAGCTCTGATACCGGATTATTACAGCAGGGCTTCACAACACAGAAGATGTCAATACAAAGTAAAGAATAAAACTGAATCTAACAAATACAGCAGAGATAAATAGAACAATACATAAGGATTTAACATGGTTCAGTACGTAACTTGACCTACATCCACGGGCAAATACAACAAAGAAATTCTCTAATCAGAAGAGAATATTACAACAAAAGAGATCATTCTCTAAACTCAACTCAAAACCCCCTAGAGAATTTCATAAAGAAAGAAACACTCAAGCATTAAATTTGATACTAATTTGTTGAAGTCTAACTTTGAATATGAAGAAGAGAAATCAATCTTGATTTCTTCTCAAGATACATGTAACATATGAAAATTTGTTACCCACCTATTTATATACCTAGCCCCACTATACCAACCAAACATTGTCTATTTCATATAAGGATTAACCTCTATATATAAGCTTTGAGGGTGAAGAATGAAGAGTGGTGCAAGACAAAAAAACAAGTGAGGAGTTAGAGAAGAGAAAAAAGATAGATGGTTCTTCAGTGCCTCCTTTGTGTAATTCTCTAGTGGTTATCTTTAATTGTAATCTTCTCTTTTAAGTAGTGAATTCCTCTGCTATCTTGTCCAAGAATGTTGGTCAAGATACTGACTGAAACATGTTAAATCCTTTTGTGCTATTCTTTTTGTCTCTATTGTGTTAGATTCGAGTGTTATTCTCTATCTAGATAGACTTCAACAGACATGTTAAACTACATGAGAAGAATATGTAAGTCTACTTATAGACAAAACTGCCATGCAAGTTTTATGTCAAAGTTAACAACATGTTTCCCGATAATCATAGACACATAAGTTATATAGCTAAACATGAAAATACAAGGTTTTAAATGTCGGATATCGGGTTCATGTCGGATGGCTGAAATCCATGTCGGATAGCGAAAATCGGGGATATATCGGGGGACATTGACTAAATATCGGATTGTCATATCGGGTTGTGCGCATATGTATAATATCATGTCCTGAATATAATCTAAGCATTCATAAATTCAATATAAGCATACTTTATAAATTCTATAGACTAAACATATAAAAAAGTAAATAATATATGGATTTAGGTTCATAAATTCTTTCTATCGGGTTCATAAGAAACCCTTAAACATGAGAACGGGTCAAACGAGTTTGAGTATTTATCACTAAACCTATCACTAAACCCAAACCCGATAACAAAAAACAGATCTTAAAAAAAGTATCATATCGATCGATTTTTCAAAGCTAAAAAATAGACCGATATGCCCGATATGACCCTGATATTTCCGATTTGACCCTGAAAACCGACATACGAGTTAAAAACGTCCATGTCGTGTCGGTCAAGCCCTCAAACCGATATGTCGGCCGACATGTAGGACATGTCGGGCGATATTTAAAACCTTGTGAAAATATATAAGAAATACAACACAACATACATATGGGTATGCTAAACTTAAAAAGTGTGAGATTAGGATACAATAAGAACAGGAGAATCACAATTTACTCACAACTTTACCACATACACTAGAATCACAATGCACCTATCCTAATGGGTTATCGACATTGTTAACCATGATATCCATGATCTAAAGTGGTTATGAAAGCAATATATTTGATTTTAAATACTTTTTCACCAATCATCAAATGATCTCTTTTATCACATTATTGGGAAAAAAATGTTCAAAACCATTTTATGCATGGTTGAGACGTATGAAGCTTAAATTACTTTGTTGTGTCATGACTAATTGGACATAAATGTCATATGAAATTCTAGAGATAATTATTGGGAGGGTTCATCTTGAAGTTATGGCTAAATTTTATGTAAGGAGTCCCACTAGAAACACCAACACACCTCTTCCCAACCCGCCACTAAAAAGGGGAAAAAGAATAACAAAAAATGTCCATGCATCCATGCATTAGGGACATGCGATGTGTTTAATGTCCATCTGGTAGACTGTAAACCATAGGCTTGCAGCACCATCATTGCAAGGGAAGATACTATAGCTCCATCATTGCAAGCTATGTTACCTGGGTACTTTACTTGGAAGCCATACACGTACCCGTACACAAACTTCTTGGACACTTCTTGAATAGATGCATATGTTTTTTCAAGAATATACTCAATTATATACTACATGTTTTAATTTAAAACACTCCTCATCAAGGTTTTAAATGTCGGATATCGGATTCATATCGGACAGCCAAAATTCATGTCGGATAGCGAAAATCGGGGATATGTCGGGCAAGGTTTTAAATATCGGATATCGGGGAATATCGGATGACCAAAATTCATATCGGATTGCGGATATCAGGGATATGTGGTAAATATCGGAATGCTATAACAAATGTTTTCATATATAGTATAATGCACTAAAATGTAATCTCTACATACTTACGGAAATCTAAGCATACAAAATGTAAATAATATATGTTTAGGATCACTAATCAGCCTTGTAAAACAAATAAAAGCACAAATCAGTGCTACAACATTTGGATTGATTTTTTAAGGCCAAAATGTCATTTGATATAATAAGAAAATTATAATATGTCGCCCAAAAATTACCAAATGTGGTATATATTGTTTTGCGACAAGCTATATAAAAGCATATATCGGCCAACATATTGGCCGATATATCGGTCGGTCATATCAGGGATATATCGCCCAAAATACTCAAAAAGCGGTAAAGAATATTTGGAGACTATATCGGTTGCGGCAAACCCTGTAAAAGGGTATATCGGGCCATGTCGGGATATTTAAAACAATGATGTCGGGAGACATACTAAATATTGGATTGCCATATCCGATGGATTTCTACTCAATTTTGATCACCAAGATGGAATGCACTTGTCTTGTTATAACTTATCCTACTTGAGTTGAGTATTCATCATCAAGACACGAGTCGTTTTCCATTTCTAGAAGGAAAACATTAGAATATTATGCCAATAAATAAATAAAATACACATTGTCAAACTAGAACTTTCGAAGTGATGTGGTAAATATCGGAATGCTATAACAAATGTTTTCATATATAGTATAATGCACTAAAATGTAATCTCTACATACTTACGGAAATCTAAGCATACAAAATGTAAATAATATATGTTTAGGATCACTAATCAGCCTTGTAAAACAAATAAAAGCACAAATCAGTGCTACAACATTTGGATTGATTTTTTAAGGCCAAAATGTCATTTGATATAATAAGAAAATTATAATATGTCGCCCAAAAATTACCAAATGTGGTATATATTGTTTTGCGACAAGCTATATAAAAGCATATATCGGCCAACATATTGGCCGATATATCGGTCGGTCATATCAGGGATATATCGCCCAAAATACTCAAAAAGCGGTAAAGAATATTTGGAGACTATATCGGTTGCGGCAAACCCTGTAAAAGGGTATATCGGGCCATGTCGGGATATTTAAAACAATGATG